ACAGCTCTCATGACATTTCCATTCCTTAAAGTGCACAGTGATTAAATGTAATAGTATTAGCCTGCCTTATGATTAAAAGGAGAAGTCTCCAGCTTGGATAGCTAAAGCATACACTGTGCGATTTTTTTCAATCATTAAAGGCAACTATAGCTCCCACTGTATGACAAAACCGCAGGGTTTCGTCATACAGTGGGAGTTCCCAGCTCACAATGTATGTTCTATTCAATTCAATTTTATTTCAATTCAATTAAGTTCAATTCAGTTTATTTATATAGCGCCAATTCACAACACATGTCATCTCAAGGCACTTTACAATTCAACCAGATCATACAGTCAAATTGATTCAAAGTTTTCTATCTAAGGAAAACCAGTTGATTGCATCGACTCAATGACTCAAATGCAATCCTTCACACTAAGCATGCTTGTAGCGACAGTGGAGAGGAAAAACTCCCTTTTAACAGGAAGAAACCTCCCGCAGAACCAGGCTCAGTGTGAGCGGCCATCTGCCGAGGCCGACTGGGGTTCAAGGAGACAGAAGCAGAGATACAAAAAGCAGCTGTAAAAGGCGGCCCCGTCCATGTTCTCACAATGTGTGACCGACGCGCTGATGCCTGCTCACACTGTACGTCTAAAAACCATGTGGGACTCAGCTCCGCAGTGAGATGGCGCTACTCGGACTCGTCTATCCAGAAGCCAAACGTGCAGAAGAGGAATATGAAGCTCACTAGGGTGAAACGCGCTGCCTTGGCAATTTGTGCAATTTTGTGCTTAAAGCCCTAAAAAGAAAAGGCGACTAAGTATTTGGACTAAGACATGGCTGAGCAAATTGCTACTACGTTCTGTCAATTTTACAGAACAAACTCCATAGTTTGCGCACTGAGCGTTTTGCCCACGGAGGTCTACTGAAAATCAAACATGTTTGATTTTCTCCAGACCTCACGATTCCTGATCGGGAGGTGGTTGTGAAAGGCTGATCGCCCCTGTTACACCCTGTACACTACACAATGCACGACACATAATCAGGCTGAAAGTCAGGCCGATTGAAAAATTCTCGGACGACTGGAAAGTCAGCCTTGAAAGGGCAAAATATTGTACAGTGTAAGCCCGGCTTCAGGTGATTGTTGCAAGTAATAAGCTCTGCCCCTTTTGTTCAGTAATCTCAGCAGGATGCTCTGAAAGCACACACCGCTCCCGACTGTAACAGATTGATCCAATGATGAGGGAGGACAAAGTGATCCAGAACAGAAATTCTGTGGTTGTGTCTTAAAGATGTTTTGCTGTGCTGTCCCAAAGCGCTGCCTTGAAACTCATAATTTGTGGGGAGAGTTTAATCTGTGAGAGCTTAGAAACCCAACGTTAATCACAACATGTTTGCTTTTGACTTTCTCTGGGACTGCAGCAAGACAAAGGAGTGGAGCTGTGTGACAAAGTGAACTGCAATCATTTCTTCTGCTTACAACACCAACACTCAGGCTACATTTTAAAAGGGAAGACGTGAGAATCATGTGAGAGAAGTCAAATATGTTCAGTGTTGTATTTGCTCTTCTTACCGCCCTGAAGAGCTGGTAGGGAAAAACAAGTTTCTTCCAGATCTGCAGTGAAAATTGCTCCGTAATGATGAAGCATGCACCGGGGTTAACGCCTACCCTGGGCCAGCTGTCTCACTGACAAGTGATTTCTCTTCTGCAGCATAAATAATGCGACACTGAAACAAGCTGGGGGCGCTCCAGAGGGACCAAAGTGGAAAAAGTTAAAGCAATCACTGTTGAGAAAACGAATAGTGCTGAGCGTCAGCAGGGAGCTCTATCTGTTTCATGCATCCTTAAACAATCGCTCAGTATGAAGTGGAATCTCAAGAAGCAAAGCTTTAAAATGGTACTTTTATAGAAAACTGAAATAGCCAAAGGCAAATGTAACTAGAGAGATCTGCTGTGATATATCCATTATTATTACTTCTATTTATCTGTGCAACAATGCTCTGGACTTCTCCATTTTTTTGGGCCAACAATACTGTAGCTTTGTTGTTCATTGCTCTGTTGTGCAATGCAAACAAGTCCAAGTTTGATCTGATTCATATTTAGCAATACTTTGACATGCAGACCGGTTGCTGACTGACTTAGCAAAGACCGACTGACAATGAATTGGCTCAAAGATCAACTTTAATCACATTTTTGAAAGTCGGTGGAAACTAGGGATTAATATCTTTAGGAAAAAACAACCTTAATGATTATAGGGCCCTTTCAACTCATTCTAACAACCCTTACTTAATTCCTTCAGGGTTTATTCAAATTGTTTTATGCTGACATTTTTGGGGAAATTGCTGGGAATTCCAGCTGTCTTGATAGATGATATGAGGTTAATCCATGCCATAGGATAAAGAACCTATAAGTCAAAGCAGACCACCATTCTCAGAGGAAGATGTGCACATCTTTTGTTCTTTTCTTTAAATGCAGGCATAAAAGCTAATGTATATAGCTCTCTCTGTATATATTAGCAAAACTTGAGTTGCATTCCTTTATGTCCAACTAAAAACAATATCAAAAGGATGTTATTTCTGGAGGTTTTTTTCTAAATTAATAAATGTTTTTTCAAATTACTACCAGTTTTTCAAATATACGAGAGGCGTTCAATAAGTAGTGCCTCTGACCCACTTCCAGATGTTTGATCCAGCTGAAATTTTGCATGTGAGGTTATCTAAATCTCTATAGATTAAGCAGCAAATTACAGCTCTGAACTATTTGTGGTTTCTAACTTACAGGTGTATGAACTGAATAAAGTCTGAAATAGAGCCTGGTAAGTGTTGAGCAGTGATCCGGTTTTTCTATTGGAAAGGACTCACACCACAGGAGACTTTTGATGACATTAAAGTAATTTATGATGATGATGCGCGTTATATGACCTTGCAAAATGTTTTACATAGTTATATTATGCGACATTATCACTATAAGTTACTTTCATTTGATCAAAAGTCTCCCATTTTGTGCGTCCTTTCAAGTGCAAAACCACAGACTGGACTCAGTTTGAACACCAGTAAATCAGAAACCACAATCAGTTCAGAGCTGTAATTTGCTATTTAATCTATAGAGATTGAAATATTTTCACATGCAAAATTTCAGGTCGATCAAACATTTGGAAGTGGGTCAGGGGCATTACTTATTCATTATTATTCATTGTATATAGATGATTAGGGTTTTCTGTAGTGATGGTATCGGGGCCCTTTACTTTCCCACAATTTGGAAATTCTGGTGTTTACAGCAGCAAAAAGATTATAGAAAATAATGGTCACACAAATGTGGACCTTAGAAAATGTATAAGAATAACATGCTAGTGAAGAGTTAAAAGATAAATAATAAAATCCTGTACTGTAAAGTGTTTTAACAATATAAAAATCTGCACCTTGAGAATAATTAACCAATAAACAGCTATGGACATTTGTACAGTAATGGATATTTGAAACTAGCAGCAACATCAGAGATGTGCAGAATGACAGCAGCAGGTTATTTAACTGACTACAGTAGAAACTGCAAAATCAACATGAATGTAACAACTTATTGAGGTTGTTGGGAACAGTGGTGGTTATAAAGTCTTCCAGCTGCTGTGAGGAAGGATCTGTGATGACGCTCCCTGGTGCATTTAGGGTGCAGCAGCCTGTCACTGAAGGAGCTCTCCAGTTCAGCACCATCTTCATGCATGGGGTGGGAAACATTATCCAGCAGAGATGTTTATTTAGTTACCATAAACTCATCATCATAAGTCATAGCTATGCAGTTTAACTATAAAACTTTGTTCTGACGGAAGTCTATACTGATAATTCGTACCTGTGTACAAATCCCTTATCTGAAGCACAAAAAACTAAAATTGAACAAACATATATTATTTGGAAAGCCTTCCTTTTCTTTAAACTTTTATTAATAACTATAAAAACTACTTTTAAATCAAAGATAAACATAGTAGATGTGGTAGTAAATATTTTCAGATAATTCCATGTATTAAAGGGAAATACAAACCAAATAAACCTGCCCCTATAAGAATTTAGTTACCAATATATCTATTCTGAAAACAGACCAGGATACTTGATCTGTCAAGCAACTTAAGTAGACATAAACAGCAGCACATAAGAAAAACTAAAGAGGCCTGTCCTGCATTTCCCAAAAAAAATGTCTTGATCCCAAAGACTTCTGAGCATAGATTCTGTGGCTTTTCAATATGAAACTTCTTTGAAAGGAGCTACATATTTAGGAAAGCTAATTAATCCAGGTGTGTCAGTTTGTCACACAATGAAAGACAGGAAACAAAGGAGCTGGCTGAAGTTCAGAAAGTTGTAGAGTTGGGCATATTGCCCATTAATGCTTCATTTTTCTCACCTTTCATCTTGTAAAGATGTGGGTTAAGGCCAGAAGTTTGTCAACTCTTATTCAACAATTTAATGAGAGGCAACAGCATCCATTATCACTTCTGTATACAGCATGCTGATGTGTGACGTCTTTTCTCTCAACTGTTGTTTGGGGTCTTTTTGTAGAAATATTAATATGAATGACCATGCATTCAAAATAACTAATCCGATTGTCCGAGTCTCTCTCTGGAAGACAAACCAAAACAATTCTGCCCACTGCCATCAGCATCTAGAGCTCAGTGTAGAAACTTGTATAACATTTTATTTTAATGAAGTAATTTTGAAATCCAGTAAATGTGACTAAAAGAGAAAAGTGGCGATTTGATACATAATACTGGTGTCACGATACAATTCATTACCATATAGTATTATCGCTCTGTAACATCGCATCTGGTCATTGCTCTGTTGCTAGACAATGAAACGGATGTTTGCCTAAAAAGATTTGTTAATTTGATTCAATATCTTGAATAAATACATCTATAAAGATATGGATATCCATATTATTGTCTAAAATATTAGACATTTTTTTTCCTACACCCCTATTAACGTGACAGTATTCAACAAACCTCAACACAAGCAGAGAAACAGGAACATAAAACAGGAGTCCAAGAAGTTCACATTTAATGCCCTGGGCTTTATTTTCTTATTTTAGTGAGAGTTCTGTCACATTTTTTTTTTAAGTCTTTTTCAGCCTCCAGGTGGGACAAGTAAACCTCAAAGATATATTTTGCCATTGGACTGGGCATTCAGGTTCTAACAAAGACAAGAAGCACTACTAAGTAATGCTGCCTTTGTGCCTCTAACTCTTCACAGAAGAGACGACATACATTTCCCCAAAAGGAAGGCACCAAATACTTGTGGTTTTTGGCCTTGCAGCCATCTGGAGATTCTTTTTACCAAGATAAAAAAAAATTTAAGGAAAAAAAAAAAAGGAAGTGAGAGAATGCATTCCCACAACACCCCTCGTTGGGATTTTTTTTCTTTCTGATAATTAAACCTGGAATGATGAAACAGCGATTACTGCCCGTTCACCTCCCTTTTCACCTATGCATGAACAAGTAACAAAAGAATGAAGTCTTAAAAAAAAATAAAGAAGCTTACAATCAATTGAACCACAAGGAAAAACACAAAATACAAAAATAGCCTTTTTTGTTTTGTACAAAAAAAAAAAAAAAGTCAGATAAAACAAAGAGATTCCACTTGCATGAAAATGACGGATGACTCCTTTAAAATAAAAAAAGCAGCATTGATATTTGTATAAAAACAACAAGAGTCACAAACAATAGTGCTTTAATCCGAAGCAGCAGACGCTTCTGGGAAGAGACTTCATCCCTGTTTTTGTTACTTGTGTTTGGGACATTATCTGAAGAGGAGGCGCAGCTCTCCTGCCAAACCGCTCCATCTCCTGCCTCCTCCTCATCTCCTGATCTGCATCTATAATCACAGCTCACTTTAATGTGATCCACAGAGAAAAACGAAACCAAAATGATATGAAAGGGGGGTGGGTTGGGCCTGCTTTGTGTTCACAAAATACAAAAATACCCAGGAGTCCGTAGCTATTAAAACATATACTACAGCACAGGAACCAACAAAGGTACAGTGTACAAATTAAAATTAAAAAGAAACAAAAACCAAAAGCTACAAACAAACAAAAAAAGAACAAATTGTAAACACAGCACAATAAATAGATAAAACCAGCAGGCTCCGCACCATGCACATGATAAAACTCTTCTCTGTACAGCTCTCACACTCGCCACAAGATAACTTGGCTTAATCTTTTTTTTTTTCTTTTAAGTTTGACTCCCAAGTGCAAAACATCACCAATGGACAGTATGTATTCAAGTAATATATTTACAGGGGGATATTACAAATATGGAGTTGCTGTACAGATACTAATTTATAGTCATATTTATAGTTTACATGAGTCAATATCTTCTTAACAAAAAGGGTGTAAAAAGAGATGAGAATCGCTGTTGCGCCCGGTAGAGTCCTGATGTTCCTTTTGCGTCCCCAATGCTACGATGCACAGCATCTACAGAGTGGACCTGCTGCCGCGCCGCATCCGGCGGCTACTACGTCACCTCCATGGCGACCGTGTTGTCTGCTATACTGTTCAGCGCTGGCTTGTCCTCGTCGTGATTGTCCCTGGGAGAGAGGGAGAAAAGCCTGATTAATGCCGAGATATTAGTGTGCAGGTCAAACTGCAGTTCAGATGTTATTTTTTCTGCTCTTCTGGTTTCACGCTTTCCAGTTCTCTGTTAGAACAGTGAAAAAAGGTGGATCTGTTGGAGGTTTCAGTTGTTCAATGTAGCCTCATTGGGAAAGAAACAAAACTGTTTTCTTTTTTGGCTTTTCTAGTCATTTACTTACAAAAGTTTCTTTACATTTTGTTTGATAAAAACCAAACATTATTATGATCCATCAGGATTGGTGAACATGTTGCACCTCAAACATTAACCCAATTTATTGGGATTTGCTGTAACAGACCAAGTAGTAACTAATAAAATAGAAGGCAAACTTTTTACAATTTTATTTTCTAAATTAAAATCTAAAAAGTGAGGTGCCCAGCAATATCGCCTCTAATTGTTCATATTTTTAAGCATATACACAAGCCCCGTGAGAACCATCCTGAGCAACATCAGGTGTGCAATCTGAGACCAAACACCAATATTAAATTGGTTGTAAAACTGAGATCATACAAGGACTAAGAGATTACAGCATCAATTTCCATTAGTTTCCTATTAATTGAAGTCATTTGGGCAAATTAAAATGAAAGAAAAAAAGCTTGGTAATGAAAGGTGTAGCATGCGTGCAGCTTAGAGGGAACATTGGTTCCCAGCCTCCTGTTAGATGCTGCAACAGTGTTCAAACTGGGCTGGAGGTCAACCTTCCAGCAGGATGATGAACAACACATCGACTCAAAGGGGCTAAACAGGAATACATGCCAGGCTAATTAGAAATTAGAAAATTAGCTACATTCAAAGTGTGTCTGATTATGAGGCTTTTTCAGAGAGATTAGTGCTGATGAGAGTGATTTCACTTCTTCATAAAATACAACCTCAGCAATAGCCACAACTTTGTCTTTTGTTTTCAAAGTGCTTTTTAAAGAAAAGAGAAATTCCTATCCTAGCCCTCAATAACAGTCAATGTGTTCTGGATTAACAGATTTGTCCAGCGCCTCACCTGGAGCTCATATCCATGGACGACGCTCCAGAGACTTTGGGCATCTGCAGATGGGTGGAGGTGGACAGCTTTAAGGCAGAGGCTGGCACGTTGCCGAGGGTCCGTGGGAGGTGGCGTCCCGCGAGGCTGCCGGGCGACGGCACGCTCAGACAGATGTTGTTCCCGATGAGGACCTGAGTGGTTGTGGGGGCGGCGCCGCATCCAAGCAGCCCCAGAGCTGCTGCGGTGGCGGCCGTGTGGGTGCCCGGGGCGGCGTTGATGGATGCGGGGACCACGCTGGCGGGCGTATGGATGGTGGTGCTGATGGGGGGCTGCAGGAAGGTCGTGGCCGCGACCGTGGTAGTGTGTGTCGACTGGTTGGTCGTGTGGAGAGTGGAGGCGGTGCTGGTGAGGTGCAGGTTTTTGTAAACGCCTGGAGAGAAAATCAGAACATATGAGACTAAAAAAGGGAAACAGGATGAATTCATTTCTCTAATTTATCCTTTAAAGTAACAGACAGATCGACCAACAGAATAATAGAAACCTAAATAACTTAATGCCATCCAGTGTTTATCAGGTTTACTTGAATCTAAAAGATGATTTAACCAGTGCTAGAAATGCTTTCTACCGTATTTTCACGACCATAAGGCGCACCGTACTAAAAGGCGCAGTCTCAGTTATGTGTGCCACCTGCTGCGTCCTGTTCACACCGATGTTGAGCAGTTGAATAACAGCAACCACAGTGTTAATTTGTTTCACCATCTTTTTCACATCAGCTGTGAGATGGGCACGCATGGAGTCACAGAATAACAGCAATAGTGATGAGTGGAAAAAAACCACTTGGTCTCCTTACATTCACCTCCCTCAGCCACTCTTTCATCATCTCCTCAATGAGGTGGTCTCAAAAGTCCGCAGTTACAACACACATAGGGCGCACCGCACCATAGGGCGCACCGCACATTTTGAGGGGAAAAAAAGACGTTTATGTGCGCCTTAATAGTCGTGAAAATACGGTATATTAGGGCTGAAACAATCGGATTAATCGTGATTAATAGACTATTGAAATAATCCTCACTGTAAAACATGCCTTTAGCTGAAAGAGCTACTCAGAGCAATAATTATACAAAGATTGTCAAATAAAAAAACTTTTGCATTTAAGAAAAACATTTTCATCTGTCAGTATGCTCTATCCAGAACTCCTCAAGTGGAAAAGTTACAGTTTCACCTGATTGAATATCATAAAAAGTCTTCTTTAAGGAACCTTTGGCTATCTGATTATTAATCGATTAATTGAAAAAACATAATCAACAGATTAATCGATTTACAAAATAATCTTTAGTTGCAACTCTACTTTCTATTTCTATTAAACCATGAAGTAAAAAGATGGTTAAAACTGATATAAAAACACACCCATGGTGTCACTCAGTCAAATCCATCTCAGACATTTCTCATTTTCCATCCCTGGTCTCTGTCCTTTTTGCCAAGTCTTAAAAAGGATAAAACTAATATTAAAAAGACTGCAAACAGTTGCAGACTAGCGTACAGGCTTTAAAGGGACGGATGGACGGACTGAATGATAAGATTATATAGGAACGGGTTATGAAGGGACGGGGATGATTTGGTGGACTGTAGGGGAAAGAGGATGAACTGATGGTTGAACATCAGTGGAGGAATGGTGGTTTGGTCTTTGTGTTTTTTTTGTTTGTTTTGTTTTGCTTAACCCGTCACACCTGAATTTAATAGGAAAATAAAATGAAAAAATTTAAGGGTTCAACTTTGGAAATTTTAGGGCTGATCTTTTAAAAGACAGGAAGAATTAGAATTTTGTTCTATTCTAGATGGATGTGTTTGTGGATGGATCTAGGAATTCATTCTAAGAAGGATTAATGTTGCACCAACCGGTTGTTAAACTGAGGGTTGTATAAATAGATGGATGTATGAAGAGCTTATTTTCGACCAAATACCAGAATTTAGTCTGGAAATACTAATATCTATGTGATAAGATTAATGCTGAGGAAACCGTTAAATCACATCCAAGGACAGGCAAACTCACCAGCACCTGTCAGGACCCCGTTGACTCCAGTTGCGAGCACCAGCTCCTCTTTGGATTTGAAGCCGAGCAGTTGATCAGTGGTGATGAGGGCCGAGGCAGCAAACTGGGCGCTGGCTTGGTCCAATGTTTTAGACACGATGGCCTGAGGGAAAACCAGCCACATGCAGAGAGGAAACATGTAGATGATCAGTTAAACTGGATCAAAGTAAAACAGCTGAGCTCAGCGTCTCTGTTAACCAAACAGGAACTGAGGCTAAGGATCAATACTGTTCCAGGAAATACGGATGTTTCCCACTTCCCAAGAACAACCCAGTTTAATAGTCAGATGAGCCCATAGCTGTGGAATCTGGCTCCTGTTGCAGCAGAGCTGTGAGCGGCTCCATACTGACCTGTGTGTTTGTGGTTGACGTTGGGAGGCTGTTGACCTGTTGTTGCGGTTTCTGCTGCTTCTGGCTCTGCTCCAGCTGCTGTTTCTGCATCAGAGCCAGCTGCTCCTGGTGCTTCTGGTACTGCTCGGCAGTGAACGCTGCACACACAGATCAGAGACAGTGTTTACAACCAAAGTGGGCCAAAAAAAAGGCTATGTGGCACATTTTCAAGATCAGTTCCTAAATGGTATTTTCTTCTGAACATTATCAAACTCCCACTACCCAGGCTGATTTATGCACTTGTTTCCATCGTACGCTGTGATAACAGAGCTGGCTGAGGCACTGCTACCATCTGCACAGCACCGTCCAGAATGTGGATTAAAACAAGACTAATAAAGAAACAATGTCTAATCAATTTCACATTCTTGAGGTTTAATTAACCCAAAATGTGTAAAAAGGTGTGGTAAGAATAGATTTCAAAATGAGCAGCAGTCAGTTTATACAAGAAGAAAAGGGAAATAGTGCTGCTTCATCCAGCCTTTAAGTCAGTGAATGATCAACAACAATAGGCAGCTTTAAAGACTTTCATCTCAGAGCACAAATCACTTTTTAAGTCTTAGATAAGCTCTAAAGTCACCTTATTAGAGGTGATTCTAAAAGAAAAGTTAGTTTTGGCTTTACAATGAACACGTGTGCCAAAGGTTGGTGAATTTTATCCGGGTATTTAGATGCAAACTCTGCAAAATAACAATATTTATCAAGGTCGAGTGAGTTTAAATGTCTGCAAACAGAATCAGTGAGGAATATTTTTGCATTCTCCCAAAAAGCTCCAAATTTGGCTCTGGGTTGCTCTAAAAAAACCTCCACCCTCCTTTCTTGGGATTTAGTCCTGGTTGCTGCAAAAGTATACAATCAAATTTCCTGAAAATGTTCCTGCTGAACAGGATCCATCTCATATGAGGATGGTCTTAATAATGTTTGGAGGTTTCAGAGTTCTGTTTTGTAGTTGCCAATCACAATCCTGGACAATCTTGCATGTTTATTACCAGCTTCTTTTTGTCAACAAAAAGTTTAATTGGTCCAATTGTTCCATAAGGAAAGACAAACTTTAAAGTGAATCAACAAGACAATCCTGTCCTTATCAAGCCTGTGCTCACATCCAGAAACCACAACAGACAGCAATGGGAACATACCGTATTTTCACGACTATAAGGCGCACCTAAACGTCTTTTTTT